TCCATGTTACGCCATCATTCCAAACTAAACAATCATAAACTGGACCAGGATCAGAATACTTCTTCTCTAAATTATTAAGCAGTTCAACTTGAACTTGAAGGTCTTCTTTCTTAAGTTTAATATCCTAAAAAAGAAATGAATGTTATTTTACATAATGAATCAAAATATTACAAGTAAGTATGATGCTTCACATACCCTCTAGTGGTGAAACTACAAGTTTATGATAATGAAGACACAAGGAGAAAACTTCATTATTAATAACAAATTGGCAAAATGTTCAACTGACAATGCCAAGATTTCTTTTCCAATATTTTTGCATATAATTTATATTATTTAGTTAGCATGGCAATTAGCACATAATTAGGACTGTAACAATGAGTTATGTGCAGAGTTGTAACAATGAGTTATGTGCAGAGTTGTAACAGTGAGTTATGTACAGAGTTGTAACAATGAGTTATGTACAGAACTGTAACAGTGAGTTATGTACAGAACTGTAACAATGAGTTATGTGCAGAGTTGTAACAGTGAGTTAGGTACAGAGTTGTAACAATGAGTTATGTACAAAACTGTAACAATGAGTTATGTACAGAACTGTAACAATGAGTTATGTGCAGAGTTGTAACAATGAGTAATGTGCAGAGCTGTAACAGTGAGTTATGTGCAGAGTTGTAACAATGAGTTATGTGCAGAGCTGTAACAGTGAGTTATGTGCAGAGCTGTAACAATGAGTTATATGCAGAGTTGTAACAGTGAGTTATGTACAGAACTGTAACAATGAGTTATGTGCAGAGCTGTAACAGTGAGTTATGTGCAGAGCTGTAACAGTGAGTTATGTACAGCACTGTAACAGTGAGTTATGTACAGAACTGTAACAGTGAGTTATGTACAGAGCTGTAACAGTGAGTTATGTACAGAACTGTAACAGTGAGTTATGTACAGAACTGTAACAATGAGTTATGTGCAGAGCTGTAACAGTGAGTTATGTACAGAACTGTAACAATGGGTTATGTGCAGAGTTGTAACAGTGAGTTATGTACAGAACTGTAACAGTGAGTTATGTACAGAACTGTAACAGTGAGTTATGTGCAGGGCTGTAACAGTGAGTTATGTGCAGAGCTGTAACAGTGAGTTATGTACAGAACTGTAACAGTGAGTTATGTACAGAACTGTAACAGTGAGTTATGTACAGAACTGTAACAATGAGTTATGTGCAGAGTTGTAACAGTGAGTTAGGTACAGAGTTGTAACAATGAGTTATGTACAGAGTTGTAACAATGAGTTATGTACAGAACTGTAACAGTGAGTTATGTGCAGAGTTGTAACAGTGAGTTATGCGCAGAGATGTAACAATGAGTTATGTGCAGAGCTGTAACAATTAGTTATGTGCAGAGTTGTAACAGTGAGTCATGTACAGAACTGTAACAATGAGTTATGTGCAGAGCTGTAACAATGAGTTATGTGCAGAGCTGTAACAATGAGTTATGTGCAGAGTTGTAACAGTGAGTCATGTACAGAACTGTAACAATGAGTTATGTGCAGAACTGTAACAATGAGTTATGTGCAGAGCTGTAACAATGAGTTATGTGCAGAACTGTAACAATGAGTTATGTGCAGAGTTGTAACAGTGAGTCATGTACAGAACTGCAACAATGAGTTACGTGCAGAGCTATAACAATGGGTTATGTACAGAACTGTAACAAC